TGATGGCTACTTGCCCTTATTATTGGTACTATTAAATGTTTCTCCAGAAGTCATGAGAACCTAATTTTTGTGATAAAATATAAGATTTCAGGACCTGAGATTAGTGGGCTTTGGCGTTAGACAAAGCCTTTTTACAATTGTTTCTAGCAGTAATAAACAAACGTCTGTTTTCTGGAGAATTGTTTTGCTGATAGATATGGAAGTAATGGTTTCCATTGACAATTGCAGCAGCACAATGTGAAGAAATCCATGGAGAAGAGTAAGGCTTGACCTGGAATTGTCGAGAGGGAATAAAGGATTCCATGCCAGCCTGAATCCACGAAGTTATGTAAAAAGCACATATGTTAACAGGAAAAAAAAGTTCTACCCAAAGGCCATCATGAAGAAAATCACGGAAAGAGTCCAAGTCAGCTTTAAGGTAGTTGTAAGATGTACAATGATAGGGAGATTCTGATGATAAAGAAGAATGAGATAATAGTTTTAGCGAGATTAAGCTGTGATCAAAGGCACCTAAGGGTAAATGTGGAGAAACTGAGCACTGACTAGAATCAGAAATAAGAAATAAGTCAAGTAGAGAATGTAAATGATTCGGGTTGTCTGGAAAGCCAATTGGAAAGTTGACTATTTGAGTTAGGAATTAAGAAAAATAAAAGTTGTAGACTTTGATGCCTGCAGAGTCACTAACACTAGAGCTAAGCCACTCAGTATGATGAACATTATAGTCATTGACAACAACAATATTGGCTGATGGATAAAGAAAGAGGGCTTGATCATTACGATCAGAATAACATTAAGAAGAGTGCAGTCTTGGGATGAAGGAGAACGATATAGAACAAAGAGAAAGGTGATAGAGTGAAGTGCTGCTAAACAAAAGCACATAAAAGAGGAGTCTGTGGATTCAAACCTAGTTTCCCAACAAATGGGTGAATTCTTACGAATGGAAATGCCCAGGCCAACCATGTGACTATTGGAGTCTTTACGAATTAAAGGAAGATAACCATCAACACTAAGATCACAAGATGAGGCAGCTGAACTCAAATTAGTCTCACAAAGAGCAAGTAAGTCTAATGAACTTTGCAAGAGATAAGACTAAATAGAAGAAAAGTTACTTCGAAGACCACCAATATTAGTGAATGATAGGTTTAGCGAACTGGTTGATGACTCGAAACATAGATAGTACTCAGTACACTGTTTAATAGCCCAAGCAATTGCCTCATTACTATTAATAAACCCTAAGCCGTAACAAAGGGCTCCAATGTGGCCTTGACAATGCACACCAAGTACAAACAGGGACACTATCTATGCACAACATGGCACTGTTAATACTTTGATATATTTCAGCTTTTGATGGAATTAGCCTTTGAGAGCTACCACAGAGTTTAGTAAACCTGACTACCAGCCGGCCCCAGAACCTTAAAATTGAGTTTTAGAGTTGTACCTTTATTAGAAGATAATAGAATGAGTTGCCTAGTCATAAAAACAGAAACACAAGCAAAACCCATGCATTGAGTCAAGAAAATCCAGCATTCAACATCCTTAACTGGAAACAATGCATTAAGAATACATCTGTACCAGCCTAATAGTTGAAGAAGGGGTGCAATGCTGGTCAACAGATAGAATCTGTTTACCCCTTAGGTCTTTGCCTAGTAGACCTTCTACAAGACAGCAGCCGGGTGCATTTAACATTAGCCCAAGATGAGTATTTTTATCGAGACATCATCTCTAGCCTTCACTCAACCAAGAGATCTATGGTAGGTGGTGTTTTAAGTCGGAGTTGGCATCTCCTAGCCTTTGCCTAAAAAGGGTGTTTTTTACAAGGCAGCAGCACATGAAGCAGATTGTACTGGATTACATGTTACCAGTAGCAGGATAAGCCTGACCTATTGGTTTGTATGTGGCAATATTTTATTATTAGTCTTAATTGAAAAGAACATCGCAAAATGATCTGAGATATTGTTTTTTGTTCTTTTAAATAGTTTCATAAAATAAATCATTGGTTATTATATTATCTATAAAAGATTTCGTTGATTGAGTGATTCTAATTGATTTAGTAATTATGGGGAAAGAAGCAAATTGTTATAAAAAAGTTTCCGAATGTAGTTTCATTATTATTTCAGATTGTTAAACAATCAAAAATATTTGTCATAATAAAGTTATTGTCCTAATTTTAAAAATAATTTAACTTTTAACTTCGGGAGCAAGAAGCTTCTTATAAACTTAAATGAAGAAGTCTTGAATAGGGTTGTTAACCGGAGGATTTCGTGCAATTCCGGAAAAACAACATACTTTCGTAAGGAGATTGAGAACACGGAATTACATTTTTTCGTACCGAATGTTACAAAACATTTAAAATCGCCGATGTTCATTTCGCAAAAGCCACTTCCGAAATTTAGCATTTCGCAAGTTGACATACGAAACAAAACTATTTTGCAACATACGAAAGTAGCGGTTTCGGAAGTCGCACTTGCGAAACAAACATTTTTGCCAAATGACGTTTTGA